TTTTAAGAGGTTGGTAAAAGAGCACTATCTGGCTATGGAAACTTAGTCGCTATATTCTTGTATTTGTTTTAATTGTTAATTTTATTTTGATTTTATTTATTTCTTTTTACTTACTATGATTTATTTAACTTTTGTGTCTACATTATTTACGTAAATATTTGAGACGACTTATATATTATTATATTCATTTATATTTATATGTCTAATTGTTCATTTATATTTTTTAGTATATATATTTATGTATATATGTATTGTATGTATCTATTTATATATGTATTAGTATTTATATAAGGATAAGGCACCACCTACCTTTTCCTTGCACAATTTCCCCAAATCAAAGGTTGTCTGGCAGAAATCGCTACTTAGCGATAAGACCGCCTTTTTATACATTTTAATTTATTATTTTTTTTTTCTTTCCGTGTAAAATTTACTGTTTGTGGTGTACAATAAAGTATATTCTATTCTATCTTCCGACGAAGACGAAATATTTAATGTATTAAATACCTCAGAATAAAACAATTTTGAAACATATTACAGTACTTTATTTCTACATATATCATTATGAATTTATATTTATCGTTGGCGTGCACACCATATATGCAAATAAGCACTGCATACCCTACCCATATAACAACAAAATCTTTATTGTTTAATTGTTACTTACATACTTTTAATCAGACATTACGAAATACAAAGTGTTTACAGACTTTAAAATGTAAAAATCAAAGATTTTCGATCGGCCGCTACTAACTGATAGCGCCGCTATGCAGCCAGAGGCAGTATGCACAACCACTCTGCTTATTCTCCATACAAAAATACTCAAGGACGATCTACAAATCTCATATATGTATACAGGAAATGTTTGTATGTGTGAGTGTAAAACTAATACATGAATAGTGTTCGAGAAGCACTGATTATTATTTTGTATTGTTTAAAATCTCGTAGAAAGTCCGTTTATTGTCAAATGAAACGGGACTCTCTGATTTTATTATTATTGAATATTGTCATTTGTCTTTCTAAGCGCAAGTGAATAAGTTTTAATTGATTAAAGTAAACAGTGGATTAATTTATTAACGAATTATGGAAAATTATAGCTGTGACTTCTGTGTTTGTGATGTTTAATTGTAGATTTTCAATATTGTCGTTTGATAACAAAATTAAAATAAATGTAAAGTCAAGGTGTGTGACCAGTTGAGATTGAAGTAAAAGAAAGGTAATACTTATTCGTTTTAATAAAAAGTATTATGATAGTTTTAATTAGTTAGTAAGTTATGTACATACAAATAAGTTATTTTGTTTATTGGTTTCAAATGATACTAATAAGAATGTTTGAATCTCCACTGGATATTCCTATTTAAATAACTTTAATAAAGCTGTAATAAACAGATAATAATCGTTTTAAGGTTCTTTCGTGGTTCAGGCAGTTGAGAGTTTCTTAAAGTATAAGATGTTCGTTCTGATCGGACTGCTGTAAGGCTTTAATGGACTTAGATATTTTTAAATGGATCTTAATAAAAAAAGACGATACTATTAAGTATGACGATATTATTCCATCAATACAGTTTCTGATTTGAAAAGGGGTAAATTTGGATGATGGAAAATTATGTGATGAAATCACATTTTTGAATAATATTATCACTCAACAAAGTCAAGATTTTTTTGAGATGAATGCCAATAGCCAATGGACCATTATTCTTAAGGCAGCTGGATCAGAACAAGTTGCGGAATTAACAAAGATATGCTGTTATATTTTTGCATTGCAGGCACAAAATACCAATGTTGAAAGGGTATTTTCCCTGATGGGAGCCCAATGGTCTAAAGAAAGGAACAGGCTTTCTGTAGAGTCTGTCATAATTATTTTTTTTAAGGAGGGGGGATGGTGTGTATCATGTATGTACAAACACTACTTGACAAAATGTGCCTATAAAGCGCATGCAATACGATTTGTGTATGGAGTATTCATTGAATATTCAGTTAGTATTAAGAAGTCATAATGTGAACACGTCAAGTAAAAACCGAAACAAACGATGACTATTATTTTGTCTCCCGCTTGACCTCCACTTCATAAAGAAATAAATTAGGGACTAAATATAATGGCATAGCCTCTAAAGAGAACAAAGCCCATACAGCCATGTCTTTTGTATCTTTAATTATTTTTAAATGTCTTAATCTCCTTTTTTATTCTTGACTCAAGTTTTTATATTAGGCCTAAGCCATGTCATTGTTTAAAATAATTTTTTTTTGTCAAATTCTTGTCTTTTTTTAAAATCCGTCTTTTTTCAATGTCAAGTCCATATAATGTCATTTTTAGTACAATTCATTTGTCACAATCGGAAAACGGTCAAATTTGAACATAGCTGAAATAGCTGAAAAACAAATATCTTAAACAAAACGAAAAAATAGTATTATAAACATATGTACATATAACAATTAGATTTAATTTACAGTAGAAACAATAAAGCCATAAACTGGCAAGAAGCAATCTTGAATGCTTAGTATTTGCTGAAGGGAGCGCGGGATACTATCAGCAGTTTTAAAAATACTTAAAAGTTGGTCTACAAGGACCATCCATTGAATACTAAACTGTGGACAATTAAAAAATATATGTTCGAGGATTTCATCAGCATTATTGCAATATCTACAAATTGTAGAGTCAAAAACACCAATCCTAAAAAGGTGAGCACCAAAACGACAATGTCCCAGACGCAAACGACAGATTGTGGTATAATACTTTCTATGGCTATAGTCACTACCCCGGGTAAAGCAGGGGGAAGAGACCTTTTTCTTTATTGTAGCGAACCATTTTCCTTTTACCTTTACCACCTGATGCTATAAGTTGTAAAATTCTTTCTGTAACTTGAGTTTGCAGAGGGATAGAGCGTCTGAATAAGGAATTGGGAAATTTAAAGTGTTCATATTCTCTCTCTCTAATTCAATAATCCTGTTTTTGTAGTCTTCATTTATGTTAATTTGGTTATCGTGGGAGTCGGATAAAAATTTTAAAGACTTTGTAACCTCATCAAAATTATTTTGTAAAGCTGAAAATTTATAAATAATGCCTTTTATTACCTCTTGCATTTTTTCTAGACATATATTGAATTTATTAAGACTCAACTGTTGTTCATCTACTTTAAGATTAATTTCCTTACGGAAACTACGTATTTCATTGACAGGCTCGAATGAAAGACTGGAAAAGCGCTTAGAGAGGGATTCAAATTCTTGATCATTTTTGACTTTGCTTTGACTCGGAGTGTTAGTATTACTAGTTTTGCTTTGGAACGCTTTTAGATGATAATGAATATTGCATTAGAACATTTTAATACGTTTTTGAGACACAGAATTAATATTGGTATTGCATACTCCAACAAAGCGCTGTCTTTGGAGAATATTTGTAGATTTCAAATTAAAAAAAATTTATTTGCTTTTTCAACTCCTGCAGGGGTTTGAACCGTGATCCTTAACGTCACACCGTTAAATCCACTAGCAGTACCACTGCGCTATCAAATGAATACTTGACAGCGTGAAATTGTAGATGGTGTTGTAAATTCCTGATCAACTAAGTCGGAGTTTATGGACATTCATTAATTTATTATGGTATATTGCGTTAAATTGATGTATTTATTGTGTACTTATTTATTTATCTTCCGTAACACTATTAAAATTTTAATTATATGGTTTGTTTTAAATAGATTCACACAAATTTAATACTATTTGCTAGCACAAATACGGTAACCAAAAAAGTATATCACTTTTTCACTATTTCGAAAGTTTAAAATATATGTAGTTTTTACAATTAATAAAGCAGAGACAGCAAAACACGTTTTGCCCTTATGAGACTTGACATCTTCGAGAACTACACCCCTGCCAATTTTGGGATTTTTTCGGCAAAGGGTTGTGGAGATATAAGGGTGAAAAGGAAAAACCACGTGGCATGTGGTTCGTCAACCGGGCGCGCCCGGGTGACCTCACTAGTGTTACTCGATTGGGGGCCCTCTCCCGAGCCTGGTGACACCTCGGTGAGGAGATAGAACGAAGAGAAGTGGCCGTGCGGTTGGTCTCAGAGGGACCTCAAGTTCGGACCCCCAAAAATCAAAAACTAAACCGATAACCCCAGTATTTTATTATCTTATCGTAAAGAGCAGTTCATCCCCTTCAATTCGACACCACATTCGGCTTCGCGCGGGGCCAGCAACCATTTTTAAATATTTTTCAAAGTCAACTGTCAAAAAATGTCAACTACGAAATAACCTTGTAACCCAATTTCGGCAGGTTCGACGTGTCGGAGCCTGACCAAAAAACTTTTGGCATCATTTTTTCGAGTCCCCCTTCCGTTTTCCATCAAAATTTTTCATGAAAAACAAAGGATTAAAACACCCATTTTCGGTTTCAAATTACGTCACGAAACTTCACCCCCTAAAATAAAATAGTTCCTGCGGTCTGATCTCCCTGAAACTAAGTTTGTGGATAGATTCCGCAGGTCTTAAAGGGGTAGAGTTGTCAAAATTCAAAATTTCCCCGAAACTTGGGAAAAGCCAGGGGTGAAAAATCCGGAAATATTTTCGTTAAAAAATTTTCCGATCTCCGGGGAAAACTAGTGAGGGGATAGGGACTGATCTCCCAATCACCCCGATACCTCTCCTGTCTCTCTAGGACCCGGGATCGAGGAGATATCACAATTAACCCTAGAAGCCCAATCTACGTAAATTTGACGTATACCGCGGCGAAATATCTCTGTCTCTTTCACGTTTACCGTCGGATCGCCGCTAACTTCTGAACCAACTCAGTAGCCATTGAGACCTCGCAGGACACAGTTGCGTCATCTCGGTAAGTGCCGCCATTTTATTGTAATAGAGAGGTTGCACGTCATTTTGACGTATAATTGGGCTTTGTGTAACTTTTGAAATTGTTTCAAATTTTTTATTTTTGTAATTTATTTGAGTTAATCGTATTGTTTCGTTTCATTTTTCATATAATATTAATATTTTCAGGTTTAACACAAAATGGAGTCCCGTCAACGGCTAAACCAGGACGAAATAGCTACAATTTTAGAAAATGATGACGATTATTCTCCGCTGGATTCGGACTCCGAGGAAGAAGATCGTGTAGCTGAAGATGACGTCTGGAGTGATAACGAGGACGCGATGGTCGATTTCGTTGAAGATACAAGCAGGCAAGAGGACCCCGATAACAATATTGCTTCTCGGGAATCGCCTAATCTTGAGGTAACTTCATTGACTTCACACAGAATTATTAGTTTGCCTCAGCGGTCAATACGTGGAAAAAACAACCATGTATGGTCAACTACAAAGGGACGTACGACGGGAAGGACTTCTGCTATCAATATTATACGCACAAATAGGGGACCAACGCGAATGTGTCGCAATATTGTTGACCCATTGCTCTGTTTTCAACTTTTTATGACAGACGAGATAATTCATGAAATAGTCAAGTGGACAAACGTCGAGATGATAGTAAAACGACAAAATTTGAAAGACATTTCAGCAAGCTACAGGGATACAAATACAATGGAGATCTGGGCGTTAGTCGGAATTCTCACTCTGACGGCTGTTATGAAAGATAACCACCTCTCAACTGATGAGTTGTTTGACGCTACATTCTCTGGCACCAGATATGTATCAGTAAAGAGCCGAGACAGATTTGAATTTTTAATAAGATGTTTGAGAATGGACGATAAAACACTGCGACCAACTCTTCGTAATGATGATGCTTTTTTACCAGTGACAAAAATATGGGAGATTTTTATCAATCAATGCAGACAAAACTACGTTCCTGGCAGTAACTTGACTGTAGATGAGCAATTGTTAGGTTTTCGCGGCCGTTGTCCGTTCCGGATGTATATTCCCAATAAACCTGACAAATATGGCATAAAATTCCCCATGATGTGTGACGCTGCCACAAAGTACATGATAGATGCCATACCTTACCTTGGTAAAAGTACGAAAACAAATGGTTTACCATTGGGCGAGTTTTATGTAAAAGAGCTGACTAAAACAGTACACGGCACGAATAGAAATGTTACCTGCGACAACTGGTTCACGTCTATCCCATTAGCTAAGAACATGCTCCAGGCTCCATACAACCTAACAATAGTAGGAACCATCAGGTCTAACAAAAGAGAGATACCTGAAGAGATCAAGAATTCTCGCTCACGGCCGGTAGGATCCTCAATGTTTTGCTTTGATGGCCCTTTGACCTTGGTTTCTTATAAACCAAAGCCGTCGAAAATGGTATTTTTATTGTCTTCCTGTGATGAAGATGCTGTTATCAATGAAAGTAACGGAAAACCGGACATGATATTGTTTTATAATCAAACAAAAGGCGGCGTTGATTCCTTTGATCAGATGTGTAAATCTATGTCTGCTAACAGGAAGACTAATAGGTGGCCGATGGCGGTCTTTTACGGGATGTTGAATATGGCGTTTGTGAACTCCTATATAATATACTGTCACAATAAGATAAATAAACAAGAAAAACCAATGAGCCGCAAAGAATTTATGAAAAAATTAAGCACAGATCTGTCGACACCTTGGATGCAAGAACGGCTACAAGCACCTACTTGAAGAGGACTCTGCGCGCCAATATAACAAATGTTTTAAAAAATGTGGTACCGCCATCTCCGGAAAATATTAGTGATGAGCCAGAACCAAAGAAACGACGTTATTGTGGATTTTGTTCATATAAAAAAAGGCGGATGACCAAAGCGCAGTGTTGCAAATGCAAAAAGGCTGTATGTGGAGAACACAATATTGATGTTTGTCAAGACTGTATATTATAAAGACTGTATTTTTCGAAGAGACTTATAAAGTATTATTACAAGTTGATTTAATTTTATGAAAACATTTAAAACTAGTTGATTTTTGTTATAATTACACATTTTTAAGAAAAAAGTGTTAGAAGCTTGATTTTTTGTTGATTTTTTTCTAAGATTTAATTAAAGTGCCATAATTGTATTAATAAAGAGTATTTTTAACATAAAATGTATTTTATTTATTAATTAAAACTTCAATTATGATAACTCATGCAAAAATATAGTTCATTAACAGAAAAAAATAGGAAAACTCTGAAATTTTATTTTTACACGTCATTTTTACGTATGATTGGGCTTTATGACTAGTTAAATATGATTGGGCTTCTAGGGTTAACGTCACACCGTTAAATCCACTAGCAGTACCACTGCGCTATCAAATGAATACTTGACAGCGTGAAATTGTAGATGGTGTTGTAAATTCCTGATCAACTAAGTCGGAGTTTATGGACATTCATTAATTTATTATGGTATATTGCGTTAAATTGATGTATTTATTGTGTACTTATTTATTTATCTTCCGTAACACTATTAAAAATTTAATTATATGCTTTGTTTTAAATAGATTCACACAAATTTAATACTATTTGCTAGCACAAATACGGTAACCAAAAAAGTATATCACTTTTTCACTATTTCGAAAGTTTAAAATATAGTTTTTACAATTAATAAAGCAGAGACAGCAAAACACGTTTTGCCCTTATGAGACTTGACATCTTCGAGAACTACATCCCTGCCAATTTTGGGATTTTTCCGGCAAAGGGTTGTGGAGATAAATATAAGGGTGAAAAGGAAAAACCACGTTGTCACGTGGTCCGTCAACCGGGCGCGCCCGGGTGACGGCACTAGTGTCACTCAATTGGGGGCCTCTGCCGAGCCTGCTGACCCCTCGTTTGTCTTCCTGCGACCTCCTAGTGAGGAGATACAACGAAGAGAAGTCGCCGTGCGGTTGGTTTCGGAGGGACCTCAAGTTCGGACCCCCAAAAATCAAAAACTAAACAGATAACCCCAGTATTTTATTATCTTATCGTAAAGAGCAGTTCATCCCCTTCAATTCGACACCACATTCGGCTTCGCGCGGGGCCAGCAACCATTTTTAAATATTTTTCAAAGTCAACTGTCAAAAAATGTCAACTACGAAATAACCTTGTAACCCAATTTCGGCAGGTTCGACGTGTCGGAGCCTGACCAAACAACTTTTGGTATCCTTTTTTCGAGTCCCCCTTCCGTTTTCCATCAATATTTTTCATGAAAATCAAAGGATTAAGACACCCATTTTCGGTTCCAAATTACGTCACGAAACTTCACCCCCTAAAATAAAATAGTTCCCGCGGTCTGATCTCCCTGAAGCTTGGTTTGTGGATAGATTCCGCAGGTCTTAAAGGGGTAGAGTTGTCAAAATTCAAAATTTCCCCGAAACTTGGGAAAAGCCAGGGGTGGAAAATCCGGAAATATTTTCGTTAAAAGTTTTTCCGATCTCCGGGGAAAACTAGTGAGGGGATAGGGACTGATCTCCCGATCACCCCGATACCTCTCCTGTCTCTCTAGGACCCGGGATCGAGGAGATATCACAATTAAACGGTTAATTTCTGGGTTTAAAACTCCTGGTTTAAAACGTAGTTGACCTATTAGGTTTAAGATTTTTATTGATTTCGTGACGTGACTGTCTCCCCTAATGGGGACACTAACCTTTTTATTGATTATTGACATATTTTACTTATTATTGACCTGGATTTTTTAAATTTTAAAATTGTATAATATTGCAAAGGTGGTAGAGCCTAGCTGTGGTGAGTTACTACAGCTCGAACATGGGCTGGCTCGACCGGGGAAGTACCACCCTCTCACAGAAGATCGGCGTGAAGTAGCCTTTACTGGCTGCGTTTCGTCTGATGAGTGAGAGAGCCGGTTGCCCTTTCCCTATTCCTACCCTTTCCTTTCATTTCCTTATTCCCACCCCTCCCTACCCCAGAAAAACAAGGTTGGCAATGCATCCGCAACAAAATGTTGCGGATGTCCATGGGCGACGGTAACCACCTTCCATCAAGTGGGCCGTCTGCTCGTTTGCCACCTTTCGCATAAAAAAAAAATCTCTCGGTTTGACTGGATTTGGCCTTTTAAGAAGTTTTAATTGTTATTTTATTTAATCTACATATTTCATTTAACTTTAGTCAAATATGTTAATCCATTTTATAATTTAATAAATGTACATATAACAATTAGATTTCATTTATAGTAGAAGCAATAAAGCCATAAACTGGCAAGAAGCAATCTTGAATGCTTAGTATTTGCTGAAGGGAGCGCGGGATTCTTTCAGCAGTTTTAAAAATACTTAAAAGTTGGTCTACAACTGTGGACAATCAAAAAATATATGTTCGAGGATTTCATCAGCATTATTGCAATATCTACAAATTGAAGAGTCAAAAACACCAATCCTAAAAAGGTGAACACCAAAACTACAATGTCCCAGATGCAAACGACAGATTGTGGTATAATACTTTCTATGACTATAGTGACTACCCCGGGTACATCAGGGGGAAGAGACCTTTTTCTTTATTGTAGCTTTACAACCGGGCGCGCCCGGGTGACGGCACTAGTGTCACCATGCGGTTGGTTTCGGAGGGACCTCAAGTTCGGACCCCCAAAAATCAAAAACTAAACCGGTAACCCCAGTATTTTATTATCTTATCGTAAAGAGCAGTTCATCCCCTTCAATTCGACACCACATTCGGCATCGCGCGGGGCCAGCAACCATTTTTAAATAATTTTCAAAGTCAACTGTCAAAAAAGGTCAACTACGAAATAACCTTCTAACCTAATTTCGGTAGGTTCGAGGTGTCGGAGCCTGACCAAACAACTTTGGTTTTAACGAATGATTAATTATACTAGTTTTAAGATCTTATTGAAATTATTAATAATGTATTCCAACAGTTTTAGTTTTTAGTGTATACAATTTTAGTGAATTATTTTAACTTTAAATTTTATATAATTTTAATTAATATTGGATTGTATTGTATAGTATTGTAAATTGTATAGTGTATAGTATTGTAAATTGAAATGTTGGAATAAATAAAATGATTGCGACAACTCCCCCAACCACCTACAACAAAATAGAATAAGAAAATGGATAGGGGCATTTCTCTGCTAAATGGAAAATTACTGTCCCAAGCAAATTTTATTAGAATAAGTACTATAATTTAAAAATGTTTAGGATTAATATGAACATAAATGTGGTATTCTTGGTTCACCATTGCTCATTATATAATTTAATATAATAATTTTCGAGAAAAAAAATGTTATACATCTCAAAAACCACTCCCCTGGTATGTCCCTTTTCCAGAATTGAAAGTATTGATACCCATTTATATATTTAATACTTGTCAATTCGTTACTAAATGATAATAATATGTAATTGTAGAAGACTGTGGCATATTTTAAATTACAAATTACATGCCTATAATAAAAAAATATTTGAAAAAAAATTTACGAAGTTTGTCCTCAAATTTTAAAAACACTACCCTGGTAACATTTGAAAACGGCGCGAAAATCACTTACGTTATTAGTCTAAAACATTTCAACGGTGAAATGGAACGCAAACGGTGTGAAGTTCGTTCGGTTGTCAATGTAAATAGACAGCCGCCATTTTGTCAGTAGCACCACTGTGTTTGGATGTGAACCACGCGTCGCGGCCGTTAGTACGAACACTCCACTGGTGAGCATTTGTTTTCATATTTTAAGAGTTTTAAATAAGATAATTTGTTTACATTATTTTACTAGCAATCATGTCTGCACATCTGTGTTATAAATGTGATATGTTTTAATGATTTTGTGTTATTTGGTTTTCAAGTTAAAAAAACATTCCCCTGGTCAACATCCCCCTGTCATTTATTTGCACAGGGGAGTGTTTCTTACCTCAGGGGAATGTTTTTTAAGTTTTGTAAAGACTTCATTGCTAGATAGCGCATCAATCTTCCTCAGCGTTAATAATATAATTATCGTTCTTTTTCGTAGGTTATAGCTCAAAATGCCACCTAAAAAGAAGCCACCCAAAACAAGAGAAGAAATATTAGAACAAAAACGAATAGCTGAACAATTGAGATATCAACGCCTTAAAAATGACCCTCAAAAACTAGAAGAAATGAAAGAAAAAGAAAGGCTGAAATACCAAAAGAAGAAAGAAAAAGGGAGCATAAAATTGGTTAAGGATATGAGTCGTCGCGAGCATAAGGCTGCTAAAAAGACTTGGAAAGAGCGCTGTACTAAATATCGTCAAAAAAAAAGGGCCATGAAAGAAATAACTAATACTTTTGTCAGGGAAAATACACCAGATTCTACTACTGGCCCAACATTAGAATATCCGGCGCCATTAAGGTCGTCAGAAAATGCATTAGTTGAGGCAAGAAAGAAACAGGCTAGAAAGAAACGTGCAAAGATATTGAAAGATAAAGACAATAAGATTCAACAATACAAACAGAAATTGGAAAAATATAAGAAAAGATTACAACGGTTGGAACAAAAACTTAATAAAAACGGTAAAAAAGATGAGACACCTAACACAAAACTAACACGAATGTGTGTCACTCCATCAACTCGCAAAGACGTTGTTAAGAAGGCACTTTTTGGGGAAGTATTAAATAAACAATTAAAAGAAAACTATGCAGGATTACAAACACAAAAAGAGAAACATATTTTCGGAAAAGTTATATCAGGTGAATTGGTTGAAAAATATAAGTTATGGAGGAGCCAAGAAAGTGTGGTGTCCTATAAGAGGCTTCAGAAAATTAAAAATCTATCATTATTACCCACAACACGGACTCGACTACCACTTATTGCATCCGAACATATGAAGATAGTACAAAATTTTTATGAAAATGATGATAATAGCAGAATTGGTGCAGGAAAACGGGAATGTGTAACCAAGAACAGAGTCAAAAAGCAAAAGAGATACTTGCTAGATACATTGACCAATTTGTACCAGAAATTTAAGAGTAATCACTCAGGTCTAATCAGTTATCAGACATTCTGTCGTTTGCGTCCATTCTGGGTGGTAACACCCAAAATAAATGAACGGGATACATGCCTTTGTATCAGACACGCAAACATTGATATGAAATTATCTGCCTTGTACTGCCGGAAGATTTTGCGCTACGATAATCATAATAAATTGCTTGAAAAAACTTGCTGTAATCGTTATGATGAGCAATGTTTATCTCGGGAATGTCAGCATTGTTTCAATAAGAATCCTGATTACCAAGAGTTTGATGATAGCAAGCCTATAGTGTATAAAAAATGGATAGCTGAGAAACAAGATTACAAAGATCCAAAGTTAAATAAAGTACGATCTATAACAAAATATGTGAAAAAGAAAATTACGGTTAGTCCTCGTGAATTAATACAAGAACTACACGATGAACTGGATGCGTATTATAACCACGAAAGAAACATATTTCATCAGTACACAGCTATCAAAGAGTTAAAAGAGAATCTTAATGATAATGAAGTTGTTATACTCATGGACTTTTCAGAAAATTACTGTACCAAGTACAGTGAGGAGATACAGGCCTATCATTTTGGAGGTTCTAGACTTCAGCTTAGCCTTCATACCGTGGTAGTTTACACTAAAAATGCCTTAAAATCCTATTGTACTGTTTCCCAAAATACTACACACTCACCTGCTGCTATTTGGGAACATTTGAAGCCTATTTTTAGAACTTTACCATCGCATATTACCGGCATTCATTTTGTGAGCGACGGACCCGTTACACAGTATCGAAATAAAACGATGTTCCATATTCTGGCTTCGAGGCTACATGTGGAGGTTCCAAATGTAGAAAAGTTCTCCTGGAATTTTTCAGAGAGTGGCCATGGCAAGAGTGCCGCAGATGGTAATGGCGCCACGTGCAAAAGATCTGCTGATGCTGTCGTTGCTGCAGGAGGAGATATCGATAGTTTGGAATCTTTTATAGACTCTGTACGTCAAAGGTGTCCTTCAATCACTCTATTTACAGTTGACGATGATGCAATAAAAAAAATGGCTATCGATATTCTGAAAGACGCCAAAAAATTAAAAAGCTTTTATGGCACCCTTAAAATACATCAGATTAAGGGAAAGATATCACGCAGTCCTTTGGGTTTGCCACAAGGCACTGCCAAACTTATAATGAAGAGCTTAAGCTGCCCTTGTGAAGAAGAATGCCAGCATTTTAACCTAGGTGTTATGAACTATGAAGTGGCAAAACTTCACGTCGAGGATTTCTACACAGACTCCGATTCCGAAGACGAAATCCCGCTAGCTCAAATCCCACGGAATAATGACTGCATTACACAGACTGTCCTTTTAAGACCGATTGAAAATACTAAGACTGATCTTGAGAATACTGCGGAGCCTAGTACAAGCGGCCTTCAGCAAACTTATTATAACAGTGGTGATTATGTTTTAGTTAAGTTTACTGTCGGGAACAGGGAATATCGTTATGCTGCTGTTGTTAATAAAGTAGATGATGAGGACGGCGAACTAACAGTGACTTTTCTGAAAATTTGTGATAACAAAGGTTACACGTTTAGAATAGATGAGAATGATATGTTTGATGTCGGTTTTGACCAAATATTGGAAAAGTTGCCTGTTCCGAACGTGACTGTTAAAGGAAGTAGATTATTTTATAGTTTTCGAAAATCAGTACATGTCTTTGAGAAATAAGAGATGTTTCTCTGAAAGATAAAATTGATTTTTAGTGATATACTGTGCCACTAATGATAATTATTTCAAGTTACCTAAAAAGTATAAATGTTTCTTAGTTGTAAGCCAAAAAGTTTATTGTAATAATAGGATAACAGAGGTAATATTTTTGTTTTTATTTTCATTAACATTCTAAGAGCTGACTTATGTCAAACAATCAGTATTTTAGAAAGACTGTTAAAGTAAGAAGTTGATTTTGTTCAGTTTATAACAAATGTTATTAAAATGTCTCTATTTTGTAAGCGAATTTAGTTTTGATCTCGTTGATTATTTAAGTAATAATTACACATTGTAAGTGCTAATAAAAATAAAGATTTGATTATTTAAACATACAAAAATATTAGTTTTTGTTCATAAAAACATTCCCCTGGTTAGTCACAACATTACCCTGTCACGATTTTGCACAAAACCGCTCATACCTCAAAAACAAAGAAAAAAATGTGTGTGTTTCTTGAATATATATTTTTGATATTATTACCTTGCTTTGTATTGACAAACATTCTCAACATTTGATAAATTTTGGTTAGGACAGTTTTGCAGTAATGAGTTTCTAAATAGCAGAGAAACACCCATAGATAGTAGGCACACTGGTCAGAGGTATGAAAGGGATGGATGAAAGAAAGATTCAGTATGAAGTATGAAAGGCCATCGTGAGTGCGAGAACTTGTATGGAAGGATTTTAACAATTGTAAACAAGGTCTCTGACCAAGTCAAAGGAAGCTGCATTAAAAAAAAAAAAAAAAAAACCAAACAACTTTTGGCATCATTTTTTCGAGTCCCCCTTCCGTTTGGCATCAAAATTTTTCATGAAAATCAAAGGATTAAGACACCCATTTTCGGTTCCAAATTACGTCACGAAACTTCACCCCCTAAAATAAAATAGTTCCCGCGGTCTGATCTCCCTGAAGCTTGGTTTGTGGATAGATTCCGCAGGTCTTAAAGGGGTAGAGTTGTCAAAATTCAAAATTTCCCCGAAACTTGGGAAAAGCCAGGGGTGGAAAATCCGGAAATATTTTCGTTAAAAGTTTTTCTGATCTCCGGGGAAAACTAGTGAGGGGATAGGGGCTGATCTCCCGATCACCCCGATACCTCTCCTGTCTCTCTAGGACCCGGGATCGAGGAGATATCACAATTAAACGGTTAATTTCTGGGTTTAAAACTCCTGGTTTAAAACGTAGTTGACCTATTAGGTTTAAGATTTTTATTGATTTCGTGACGTGACTGTCTCCCCTAATGGGGACACTAACCTTTTTATTGATTATTGACATATTTTAATTATTATTGACCTGGATTTTTTAAATTTTAAAATTGTATAATTATTATCTCTCGGTTTGACTGGATTTGGCCTTTTAAGAAGTTTTAATTGTTATTTTATTTAATCTACATATTTCATTTAACTTTAGTCAAATATGTTAATCCATTTTATACATAATTTAATAATATGTACATATAACAATTAGATTTCATTTATAGTAGAAACAATAAAGCCATAAACTGGCAAGAAGCAATCTTGAATGCTTAGTATTTGCTGAAGGGACTTTCAGCAGTTTTAAAAATACTTAAAAGTTGGTCTACAAGGACCATCCATTGAATAAAAAAACTAAACTGTGGACAATCAAAAAATATATGTTCGAGGATTTCATCAGCATTATTGCAATATCTACAAATTGAGGAGTCAAAAACACTAATCCTAAAAAGGTGAGCACCAAAACTACAATGTCCCAGATGCAAACGACAGATTGTTGACATCCCCCTGGTTCCCCTTGTCGCCCCAATGGCCAGTTATTACTCCGTATCCCATCCCATACTTCCAATTTCTACTCAAACTCTTTCACTGTCAATGCAGCGAGACTGTGGCATTCGCTGCCGGTAACAATTCGCACTTGTAAGTCCATCTACACTTTCAAAAATAAACTGAAAGAGTACCTCCTATCCAAATATTGATTCATGATAAAATGGCATAGACATATTTATTTATTTATGTATTTATATATTAAATATGTATGTATAATTATTTTTGTAATATATATTTTTAAGTAAAATTAATTTTTGTGTTTTTTTTTTGTTATTATTATTATTATTATTATTTTCTTCTAGTTTAGTATATTTTTTTTTTTTTGTTGTATCTTTTCTCCTTGTGTTCGATTTTGCCTGTCTACCTTAAGTTCTCTGTCTACATTTCTTCCTTCCTGGGTATACTGGAAGAAATCCCTTCTAGGGATAAGTATACCTTTTAAACTTATTTTTCCTGTGTAATATTTTTTTGTCCTTTATCTTTCTGGCATGTTTAAAAAATTGTTAAATAAATAAAACTTTACTTTTTTCATTGCTGACCTCCAGACCAAGGCTATCAAAATAGTTCTTTAGTCTTTGGAGAGCAACATTGAGGACTGATTGTACACGTAAAAAATTGTTATCAGAGCAATAAACAACTAAATATTCTGCAAACTGCAGATTAGAAACTTCACACCCCAGAGTTAAATTTAGCTGATGAATGAATAGGATAAAAAGCAGTGGGCTCAATACTCCACCCTTTACACCCCTACAAGAATATCTTGGACCAAATAACTGATTGTTAACCTTAACAAACACCTTTCTGTAGTTCAAAAAATTAAAAATCCAATTTACAACTTTTCCAGGTACCTGTAGTAATAATATTGAGGATAATTTGTTCAGATCTACATTATTGAAAGCCCCTTCAATGTCAAGAAAAACACCAACTAGTACTTTATTCTCGGAACGAGCATCGTGAATATCCAGACAGAAATGACGTAGACTCTCACAAGCAGAACGGCCCAATTGAAAGCCAAACAGATTGTAAGGTAAAAGATTATTACTTTCTTTGTGAAAAATTAATCTCTGTTTTATTAATTGTTCGAAAATTTTTCCAACACATGAACTCAGTGTAATAGGACGATAAGAATCAGCCAAATTAAAGTCTTTGCCAGGTTTTAATATTGATACGAAACAGTCAGTTTTCCAATCCTCTGGGATAATAGAAGACGACCATAAACTAAACTTTAAAAGTTTAAACATTCTGTAGGAAAGCCAATCCAGGCCACATGAAGAATCTTTTCTTGAGGCTAAAGCAGATTTTAACTCTTGCATAGTAAAACAACCGATCATGTATGAATTATCACTATTTACTCCAAGAACATTATCTATACTTATATTATCTGTTGTGAAACAGTATCCGGTGTGTATTTATATAAAAATGTTTGAACCCAATTGAGGTCAGAAAATAATTTAGAACTCGGAAGCTTTTTTTGAATTTTCTTATTTTAGTCCAAATGCGATTTATAGATGTTAAACGATTTATTTATGAGAAGAATTCAGATCAACTTTCACAACGTTCTTCTTTTAAAGTGCGTTTTTAAAAGCTTGTGCGCGTTTGAAATTAATGTAATATTTACTATTAAGACTAGTTTTGAAATTAATGTAGGCGTTCTTGCAGTCTTCCACTACTTTTGAACATTTATCATTCCACCAAGGCACTTGACACCTTTTTCTAGGACGGTTATTATTACTATCAGTTGTGTTATGGTTTAAGCTGGGCCCGGATCATTTGATTGCCACTAGAATAATTGCACAAAACTTTCTGTATGAGTCAAGGAGATCACTATTGTCAACTTTAAAGTTCATTAACATTTTATTAACAATTTGTTCATAACTTTCCCAATTTACTAATTTCAGATTGCTGTGAAAAGGAATGTTGTTCAAGGAAATAGACGGCTCACGTTGATCTCTTACGAGAGTAAATTTTGTGATAGTTGGCAGAAGATAACTGCCTAAAGGGTCCTGATGAACTTGCCAGTCACAAGAAAGAAATAAGGAAGAAGACACCATAGTTAAATCTAGACTATTTGGTTTCCAAATATGAGAGCCTATAGTTGTTGGTTGACCATTATTTAAAAGTATTAAGTCATGGTCATCCATGGAATCCATAATAGCTTTGCCCCGAGAATCTATGCGACTGCAACTCCAAAATGTATGATGGGCGTTAAAATCGCCTGCAATTATCAACGGTTCTGGAATACAGTACAATAAACGATCGAACTTTGCCTTTTCAAAAGCAGGAAAACTATTACCAGGACTGTAAAAACTAACCAAAGAAATGCATTTATGTTTCAGTTTATTAACAATTACTACATTTTGAAACGAATCATAATAAAAAGTTAGAGAAATGTATACCATTTTTAATTAATATTGCTCCGCCATTATGATCATTACCGCAGTCATTCCTAATAATGGTATAACCACGTAAATTAAATTGAATGCTAGGCTTGAGCCAAGTTTCTGAAATAAAAGCTACATGCGTATTATTTTGGTATAGAAAATTTTGAAATTCAAGTTAACAGACTTTGAGCGTTCCAATGTACAATATTTAAGATTTGGTGGTTGAATGTGACGATTTGTTATTTTTATTCTGTATGGTTTTTTTAATAGCTGAGCTAATAAATTGGGAACTAATACTTATATTTTGAGTTTTATTTAAAGTTATAATTTTTCTATAACAAAGTTTTATAAAATGCACAAAATGCAATGTATTTATCTGTTCCAAGAAAGGAAACTACTGCTCCAATCTCTTTCATACCAACTAGAGAGTTACACAGATCTTATGAGAGCTTACAATATCCTTCGATGCTATGTCGTGGAGAAAATGGTTATGCCATTAATATTTCTGAAGCTGACCCAATCGGTGGTACACCTCTGCGTAAAACAGTGTCATGTATGAACTACTATTGCTACCGTATAATGAAAAGACGTAACAATTTCAATACTTTGCTTAGATATGAATAGAATAGAATGTTAACAAACCAATACTTAGTAGATCATTATGCGAAAATTGAATCCGTAATAATCAAACTAAATTGAGAGCTGAAAATTATGTTCATCTTCAGGATGCTTTAC